TGACGCGCGCGAACTCCAGTGTTCGCCTGTTGAAGCACATAACATGTTAAGATAAGCAGAGGGCATAAACTACCAATTTTTTCCGGGGCTTCGCCCCGGACCCCGCAAAAACGATGTCCCCTTTGCTTTTTTTGCCGAAAACGAATTCCAGCTTGTCATTTGACAACCTCGTGCCGGGTCCTGTTCATAGGATTTGCCATTGAAAGTATGTCGGTAATCCTTTAGGTCGTACACATTAGCAAAAGTTCATCACATGCAACTTAGTTAACATTATTTCCTTATTACCATTTCATACTTTCAACTTCGTATCCAGAAATTTCACTAAAATTCATTCGAAATTTTCACGCAACATTAAGCTTGAAATTTCAACTTAGAATGGTGAATTTTGAAGGCACAGTTTTTGGTAAAAATCGTTGCGAGACAGAGTTGTTCAACTATCCGGTAAGCGTATTATTGAAAAATGCGCATTTCAATACTGATTCCGAATCTGTCCTTCGTATCCTTGAAACTTTATTACAAGGAAAGTTATAAGGGTTCGTTTTTAATGGATGTCCTCGCCAAGCTTTCCTGGATTCTTGCCAAAATCTTCTCCACAGCGCTCGCCCTTTTGATTATCTCCTACGGCTATAGGCGGCAGGCCTTTGGTTCCTCCTGCACCGCATCCAAGACAGTGTACATTTCATCTCAGCCACTTTAACCAACCTTCCTTCCCTTCTTAGTTATCTTAGGGTCTTTTCAAAGATCGTTATCGTTTAAAAACTCGCACTTGTGCTTTGTGGTCTCGCCTGCCTACGATGCCAGTTTGAATTTCTAGATCACGCAACTTAAAGTTAAATACTTCTTTTGAGGTTCTATTCCTGTGATAACTGTGAAAAAAAACTAGAAAAAGTCTTTCAATTTTGAAGAAGTGTAGAGCTGCATTCACTTTCGGTGTGCTGAAAACCTTTTTAAGATTCTGTTCTGCTGAAGAGTCATTTAGAAAAGATTCTTAATGACATTGTGGTTTTGGATCCACCTCTTTTTTTCTTAGAAGTTATACAGTTGTCTTAATGGTTTGTTGATTTGTAAAAGATAAATGTGTCGCGACCTTATCTTCTAGTAGGCGGTCATTACAGGCGTAAGGCTGCGTTCATTCTGATTCCGAATTCCGGTAACAGTTCCAGCACAGCGCTCAATTCGAGCGCTGTGCTGGAACTGTTCCCGAACTTCCGGTTTAGTATGAACGCAGCCTTAGTCTCAAGTGCCTTTGGTCAGCACATTATGGCTCAAGTTCTCTTCGGCCAGATTTGAACTCCCCATACGCTTTCTGCTTGCGGCCCCCTCATTTGCCTCTTTATAGACCCCGGCGGAAGGCCAATTCTCTTTTTTTTTCTGTAAAGCGCCAGTTCGCACGAGGGGCAGCCAACATAAGCGATAGGTTGTGCCAGCCATATGCGCTGCGTAGGTCAAATCTTTTTCAAAATTCATATTTACGCTATGGTGATTTCTAGAAAACTGGAAAAAACGCTGGAAGCTCTATATGCCTAATTCTTACTGTACGACCCATTTTCAACCCAGTTTATAACATATAGCTTCAAAAAATAAGACTTCATGTGCGACATATTGACAACCGGTGGAGTACAATATGCTTATTGCCAGCTATCGTTCATCTTGGCATACACCCGTTCGCACTTTCGTGTCTACAACATCCACACTGGAGCGTAAGTTTTTGAAAACACTGTTCAACACCAACCATTGCGGAAATACAAAAGCTTTGTTTCTCGAAACCTAAAATGAGAACCGGATAACGTCAAACGTAGTGCAATTAACGTATTTGCACATTTTCGCAACATAAAAATGGTTAGTCGTAAAGATTGTGAAAACAATAAAACAAAACAATTATGCACAATGCACCGAAGCACTGTTATGTGGATAAGCTATCCGTTCTTTGTTACCAAAACTGAATGAGATCATATCTGAACAGCAACCAGGTACGGAGCATTCGCGTGAAGTCGCAATGGAAAACAAGGATCTTGCCACGTTTCGCGCCGCAGATTCGCGAAGAGCGAAGCGAAAAATGTCTATTTTTGCTCGTTAATCAACAAAGTGACTCATTTCGTAAAAAGAGTGCTGTATTTATGATAAGCATGTCCAAAAATTCCATGCTTAAAGTTCCGGATAAATTTGAAATTGAATTTTGTTGCATAGTAAAGACCGCTATATTTTCTTGAAAGATAAAAACAGGATTCCAATATAAAATGGTAACCAAATCTACCTATATCGTACACCGTATACATCGGTATCACAAGCATCGTTTTACTTTTGGGAATTGGAGCATTTGAAAGTTACAACTTCGTACGCGTCTTTTGCCTTGCCGCACTGTGTTGAGGCTGTTGTTCTTCATTGTATATCTCCTAAACGGACAAAATGGCACAGTTCCATAAAGTTATCTTGAAAGTACGGGTTTGGGCCTCTAACTCTTTTTCAAAGTATGACAAAACACACTGTGAAAAATCAAGAAGATTCTATAAAAGTGCTTTACCATGTCAGCACCGGTCCGAAACGCGGTTATATGGTGAAGCTTACCATTGGTTCAACAAAAACATGGCGAAACATGGCGTGGTCAGTGTGTATAGATGTAGCCGCTTCAGTATTCGATAATATTTAGAATGCACAGTTTCAGCATAAATTGTTGCGCGCGCAAAGGGGCTGGCTCTTTCTGGGTTGAACCAAACTTCGCAGCGTACGGCCTTGCGCGGCATATTTAGCGTACGCACATGTGCATTGAAGGCACTGTCTCGGCAGAATTTTGTCTTCAATTTTTCACCTTTTCGGAGCCCTTTTGCCATGAGGAATCCATATCTGGGCTTTTCAGCGCATGAAAATGGCGAAATTAAGCTTTATCTGAAGCTTTACAGGCCAGCTATCAGTGGAGAATTCGTGTAAGTGGACGGGGCCTGGAACGAGGGAGGCGGGGCGGGAGGACTTCCGGTGTATCCTTAGTGAATGTGGACGTGGAAAGCTCTGAAGAAAGCTCGTTCTCGCCATTTTCATGTACTGAAAGCCCAGATATGGCTTTCTCATAACGAGGAGGCTCCGAAAAGGTAAAAAAAATGGAAAACGAAATTCTGCCGAGACACTGCCTTTAAGATATGAGGCGTAACCGCGTCTACGCATTCTGATCCAACCGTCTGGCGCTCTTAAAGGCAGTACCCCGGCGATTCGCGCCCCGGGGGATATAGGTGTGGTGGGGTTCCTGGTCACTCCACTTACCTCCAGGCGCAGTTCGGCTGGTTGATGTTCCCCTGAGCCGGGAAAATGGTCCTTGAACCGGCGCGCGCAACCCCATTCGGCGCGCTCGGACGGCTTTCCTTGTCTGTTCGGCGCGGGTAACGACGACGACCGCTCTCTTTCATTGTGCATGCTATCCAAAGCAAGAATTACAGGCAGCAGGGTCTTCGTGTGAGGACCAAGTTTCCATTAAAAATCTCGTCCGCGCTGCTTTTTGGAAATTGGGTAAACGCCACGAAAAAGGTCTTTTTACCCGTTTCAAAGCTCAAATTCGGGTTCTACGTGGCGAAAAGGCCTAAAACATGCAGAAAGGTAGAAGTGCAAAATCTGGCGGGACACTGCCTTTAAGCGCCAGAGGGTTGGGTCAGAATGCGTCAGGGTGGTCACACATTCTCGAGCGCTCTAAGAGCTTTTCGGTATTTTTTGGCGAAGCATGACGGGCGCAAAAAATGTTCTAAATTTTACAATCCAAATTAAGCTCTAGTCATCCCAAATCTTGTTTTCTGTTTTGAGACGGCTCTGTGGATCTCGCCCTCTCCCTTCTGTCTTGAAACCTATCATTGCCGCTTTATGGAGGCGCGGATGATTGAATCGCGCTGTTCAGCTTTTTTCCGCTGTTCTGAGGAGGTTTTTGAAGGCGGTCAGTTGCCTTTTATTACGAAAAATGGCTTCATATTTGAAAGATGCAGAACCGGCAGCTGTTGACAGCGTTGCCGTTTTTGCCGTTGCCGATGCTACTCGCTCGTTCTTGAAGCCTTTGTGGCATCCTTACACTCATAAACAATTTGTACTGGACTGTAATATTACCACAGTCTTACTTTCCTTCTCACTGTTATTTTTACTTTCATTACTGAAGTTTTTTCTCAGTACATGCTTCATGCATACGTTGAGGAAAAATTTTTTGAATTTATCTTGATTTTCAATTCTATTCATGGGTTTCTCATGAACTGCGGCTGTAGCACAAAAAGAGCCCATCTTTTTAGTTATGTAGTAGGTTCTGCCGTTTTTTGAAACTGATTTTCTGTTTAAATGTTGTGCTGTGACTAAAAAGGTGTGCATTTGCTTCTGAAAGCCCTTAGCTTCCTCTACCAAACTTCCTCCTCATTTCTTAATTTGAGAAAAACAAAAATGATGTTCGTTTCAAAATAAAATCATTGAAATTAAGATATCCATTCTTCGACAATTACATTACGGCGTTCCAAATAGTCCAAAATGCTAAGAAAACAGACGAAAAAGTTGGTAACGTGTATGGATGAGAAGCTTTAGCTCTAAACTGCCCAGAAGTGGCAAAAGTAAGAAATCATTTTTTATAATAAGCACAACAATTGTTCCCTTTTCGAAGTCATCCCAACGTCACTTTTAAGCGTCTTAAGGCAATGCTGACAGAAGATTTGTAGATGACCGCGATTTTGCAGAAGTGGTCTGTGGTCACAAAATCATTCCAAGCAAGACTAATGAACGTTACTGAATATGCAAACTGACGAACGATGTCGCGACAAAATCTTGGTACGCCGACTTTGGAAAATTGGCATTAGACTGTTGGAAAAATGCAAGGAGCAAGCATAAACGATGAAAATATTTGCATAAGTGACTGGTCTTTGTTTGTTTGTTTTTAAGTTCTTAAGTAGATCCATACTTCGTCTGTTCTGATTAGAAGTTGAACAATTTATTTGTGATAATGCCCGTACTTACACTGGTCAATGTTGCACTACATATGATGCTATAACAACCTTTAATAACAAAGACTCTATAAGTATATAGAATGAGTCAAACTAGCAACAACTTTCAGAAACATCATCCCAATTCCGACCCGCTTATTTGTGATATTCAATGTGGGTTTCCGTTACCACTCAATCCTTTTATCTTTGTAAAGATGCCGTCTATTCGAGTACTTAGTGCAGGACAAATCGCCAACATCACTGACAGCATCAAGTACCTGAAAACGGTATGGAATATCAATGTTGCATACAAGCCCAGATTATCGGAAATGATTACATTCGCCTTTCGCTTTACTCCAAACTTATAGCTAGTTTAAATGAGGCTAAGTGTACCTTGTCGAGCATCTCCTTAGTATGCGCAGCTGATATACAGAACCGACACCGGGCTTCAGTCATCTCGGTTGCTGGGAATGACACAACAACAATCCCCACTCCTCTTGCGAGCATCTCTCGTCCGTAAATACTGTAATGAGTCACCGTGAAAAAGCTATTAATAGAGTGCATGATGCAAGTCAAAAGGACTTAGATCTTATTGCTCAGCACTACTATAAACGAGCAACTAAATGGTAAGAAAGGTTGTATCAGAAAAACGCTTTACTTATAGTTTCTTTTGCAAACATTCGTAAAAAAAGTGTTCTTTTGATCCCACTCATATCTCTCCCCCCCCCCCCCTGTTATGAAATTTTGGCACTTTTCCTGCAAATCTATCATAATTCCTTCTTTTTCAGCGATAATTTGCCAAAAGCGCTTTTCAAATTGAAGTGTACACTACTCCAATTACCCTAATTTCACAAGTACAAGACGCACTTGCTTTTTTTTTCAAAAATTTGACAAGCCCGGACACACCAGAACATTTCGCGACCAAATGACCCTATGCAGCGCTGCATATTGCCTGAGAGTATCGTGCGGCGTAAGCTCCGTTTCGTGAAACACGGCGAAGTGGCTAAGCGATCCGCTTAAAAATTTAAAAAATGCATCTTGTACTCGTGAAATCAAGATAGTCCAGAAAGGATGCGCATCCTGTCGTATCATCAGTCGTTTTTCTCATCAAAATTAGATTACTTTTTTGCTCTATGTATGAGGCGGTGCGCTTTGCATAGCCTTGCATTTGTACGTTTTCAATATGCAAAATCACAACTGCTGCTGAATCAAGACATTCAAGTGAATATAATTCTGTATATATTTAGAAACGTCGTGCAAATACTTCCAGAAGACACATAGAACGCAGAGGAGCCCCAGATTTCATTCTAGTTCAGAGCTGGATGATCAAATAGCTCTATAGAACTATGGTTACCAGAATTGTTATTACTGACCCGCAATTGGATGGATAGTAGTGCAGCACTGGAACAACTGGACTGTCATCGCTACCGTAGACTATAAATCCCATCTGCTTTAACCGTAGTCGGAAATAGTGGGTATTTCGGGCAAGTTGCTCAATACGACGAGCGCCTGAATAACATTCCACTTTCTAAATATTTTGTTATCCTATTTAGGTACTATCATATATATACTATTTATCTACTATTTATCCTGGTTCGGTACCATCATTTGTGCCGTCTTTTCCCATAATAATACTCATTGATGCGATTATTTGCTGTGCCACCGGTGGTGACATTGGCGACGAGTAGCATCCGCTGGGTGAGCTTACGCGCAAGTGGTCAATAACTTTCTGAAATGTATACTACTTTCAGCTTTTATCTCCTTTGACCGCACTCATACATTATTTCTTCTTTTTCCTCTTACTTGCTAATCCATGGCGATATTACCTTCGTTCCAGCTATGTATCCTCCTGATGCTCCAAAACTTTTTGTGAACGTTCCCATAAGTATGTCTACATCTTTTGGATTGCATCCCCAGTACTCCACAACTCCTCTGCCTGTGGCTCCCATAGCACCTGTAGACATAAGTGTTCAATCATGCTATACTCACGTAAGCTTTGTTATTTTCAGGGTTGAGCTTGAGGTCAGGCGCGCCCGACCTCGGAGGTCGTATTGGGGGGTAAGACTAAGGGAGGGGGTCGTAATCAACACAGATTTGTTCACAAAACGGAGGGTTTGCTACAACTGAGTAAGGCGCAAAAGAAGAGCCCTAGACCGGAGAAGAAATGGCTGTCGTTAATTACATATTGGTAACCCCACTAATGAAGTCTCTGCCAATGGTAAAGTCACTAAAGAGGCTTGCTGTATAAAGTAGGTAAGAATTTCGTAATCAGCATGCCAATTTACGTATACGAACTCTACAAGCCACCACCTATCATATTTTCTAGTGTTTCTTGACGTCTAAAAAGCGTGATTTTCAGACGTGATTAACTTGGTCACGAAAGTAAAAGAAGATGATGAGCCTTCTTGTGCAACGAAGTAGTACTCTTCATTAGTCTACGGTAGAAAATAAATCTTCTGTCGCTTTCAAAAAGTGGATCAAGAAGTTCTGCCAAAATTTCAATCACCGCGTTATTCACTTTGCGAATGCTTCAACTCCACCGATCACCACAAAGCCGCAACAAGTCCAAGTAAGCTCAAATACTACTGTAGAATCTTAAAGGTTTGTGCTAACAAATCGTATAAAACTAGGGTGGAAAAGATTCTTCGTTGATAAAGTTAACCAAATTAGGCGCAACCCCTCAAAAGCTCAGGTCGCCTGAGTAGAAGCCTTGCGCCTAACCCCCTCAACGTGTCTTCAAAATCCAAGAATCCATTCCTGGTATGGCTATTGAGCTCATATCTCCTTCTTGCTACAGTGAAAATTTGGAGCCAAATACCCCGACTTCAAAGAAATTATGGTCCTTGTAATAAACCCATTCAGATCAAAAATCACCACTTTACGTGTGATTGTAAAGTGCAATCACAGGAAATTGGGCGTGCAAATTCAATTCCTTCAAAATTCAAAAACTCTTTTAGGGGTGGTGTTTTCCAGAACGCCGCTCTCTGAGGTCCCAGAGGTGAAAAGGAGGAAGAAGGAGATCGTTTGGGGCTTTCAGAGAGAAAGAAAGAGGGGGGAGGGTCGTCTTTAAGAGACTTGTGCCTGACCTCTTGCTCAACTCCGGTTATTTTCTGCACGCGGATCGTATGCAGAACATAGTAACCATATCGTAATTATATATATTTTGTTTTTTTACGTATCAGATCAACCTTTCAATGAATTAGATGTATTACTTTTACAGCTGTTTTACACAACCTCAGCTTCTAAGGTAGTCAAATGAGCCAACAATGCTGATTATTTTGCTCATATGTAATCTTCAAGACTTACCGATCGAGTGTGCTTCGTCCAAGTACAGATAAGCTTTATACTTCTTCTTTAGAGCGATAATAGCAGGGAGGTTACAGATGGATCCTTCCATAGAATAAATACCTATGAATGCACTTTCTCAATATTACCTTAATTTCTCCTCTTCCCCACCCCCCCCCCCCCCACTCTCGCCACCAAGAGTACAGTGTTTTTGATTTTGATGGCAAACCCACTCCCTTACCTTCAACTATGATCAGTATCTTGTTGTAAGGCTGATGTGTTTTCGGACTTCCATAGATTAACGCGTCACAAAGAATATTTTCCAGAGATTCCATATCTGAAACTTTACTCACGTATATCTGTTTCACGTCAATTTCGAAGGCATACAATACCGCTCACAGAATGTGCAAAATTTCCGTGAATGTCGCAGAATTTTAGGAAATCCGCGAAGGTTCGCGAAATTTCGGGAATTTCGCGAAATTTCCGGAATTTCGCGGAATTCCAGGTATTTCGCGAAATTCCCGAAATTTCGCGAACCTTCGCGGATTTCCTGGAATTCTGCGACATTCACGGAAATTTTGCACATTCTGTGAGTGGTATTGTATGTTCGACTATACCGTTGTGTTTGAAGACTTTGATAGCAGCACCAGAAAGGCGACAGCCAAGGATAAGCGAAGCGTGGTTGTGCTGATCCGAAATGATTAGTGAGTTCTGTAAAATGCTTGTTAACCTGGGCGAAAAGCGATGAACTCCACTTTTCAGCTTACTTTATCAACTATACAAGGTGCGTTCATTGAGTTTGTTGCAAATCCCATGCTAAATACGATTGCATCATCAACACCGAGAAACTCAGCGACGAGGTTCTCTAATATATGTTGCGTTGATGAGCTTCCTGGAAGGAGTAAAAACACATACCATGAGGTTTTCAAGGTACCAAAAGTATTCTTCAACAATGGGATTTCCTAAGTGGTTGTAAACTACGTGAAAACATTGGAAAAGCTTATATTTTTCTTTCTGCATAATCTTGATCACAGTGTAGAAGCCAAGGTAAGTGTTTGAATTTTGCGATGGTTTATGCATCTTGAAATTTTAGTGTGCAATGTTGATCTAGAATTTACATGCGTTTCGCAACTATAACCACCAGAATTTGCGATCTGCAGGTTTCATATTCATGAAGCTAAGTTGCCCTTGTAGTCTACCTCTGTGGTCCACAACTGGTACCAATGACATCTCAGTCGCTAGATTGCTAGTTGCTATCTTGTAACCAGATATAACCTTTTGCTGTGAAGCTATACCAAACCTTTGTGCAAGACATTTCTCAGGCGTAAAAAATTGAATGGTTCCTGTGACACCCTACCTCTTTATCACCTTTGAAAGAATACTGACATGCTTCTGAGAGGTCAACATAATTATGGTCCACTGTTTTTTATGCTTTTACGAGAAATTAATTCAATTTGCAAGGCACTCCAATTGTCTAAATCTGCTAAAGTCTTTCTAAAGAACTAGGCTTTGCTTCAGATCGGGTCACGGCTTCAAAGATGTTATGACCATTACAGCCGTCCAACGTAAACTTATTTTCGTAGAACACGCCAATATATTTTATATTGGCCATTTTTGTGGTGTCTTTGTATATGGAACAACTTTATTATCTTTAAAAGAGTCACTATCCTGGCCAATCTTGGTCTTTGAAGCACAGCGCTCTCACCAGGGAAGAAACTTGGTGACCGTGGCCTTTTGCAATGAAATGTATACCACTAGGTGCGTCTTGGAACGCTGATTCTAAATCTATGTTCGTTGTCTGCTGTGCGACTCCCTGAACGAAGTTATGGACTTTTCTCCATATTGATTTTGCGAGATTTAGGCAATCAAAATCGTCAGTATCCACGCTTTTTAGACTCTGATGTACTGGTGACAGTTTTCCTGATTTTAACGTGAAACTTTACTTTATCTGTATGTTCTTTTGTAGTGCGTAAGCGAACTTTCTAACGATATTGGTAACTTCCGCATCAAAAACAGTGCAAATTTTGGTGACAAGAAATGTTCATAACTTCTTCCGGAAGAGCGCACAGCAGATAATGAAAACAGATTTGGAAACAGCGCTTCAAGATGCATTTAATGGTGTACGTTTCATTTCAAAAGGCCACGGTTACCAAGTATCCTTTCCTTGTCAGAATTTTTACCATTCGCCTAGAAGACAATAAACTACATTTGAATGTTTTAATTCACATTGATCCAGCATTGGAATATACAGGGTGTCCCATGAAATATGTACTCTCTTTAATTTTTATAATTCTCTTGCTTCAATGTCTTTTGCCAAACTTCTAGCATTCTATAAATGTGTTATTTTTGATTTATAGAGCCTCTCTTTGCTACTGTAGGATTATGTTGGGAACTTTAAGGAGGGTTTCAAGCTATTTAAAGTTGCTTTGCCTCAAAAAGCAATCAAACAATTTTCTTATACTAGGCCAAAAAGTTGCTGAGCAATATAAAATCTGCGCATCACAATCATGCTTTCCATATGTTATTCCTGGTAATCGGGAGCTTCGATCGACTAAAGGCTTCTTTTTTACCTCTTTCTTGCACAGTTGTACAAGTAGCTAATCCTTCTTCGTCAATCTTAGCGATTGCTGCCTCAGCACATGGGCCACTAGAATCGGCGAATCCGAGGTAGTTGTATGAACTAACATTGATTACATTCGTTTGAGTCCCTGGGTACCTGCAAAATTCGTATTTCAATCTAATTAGTAGTGATCACTTCAATCACGAGGCGTACTTGTAAGTCCAATTATAGTCATCAGATGTCCTATCTATGAGGTTCACAGTGGCTCCTGGCACTGATCCAATTGGCCGTTCGAAAACATCTCGTACTCTCATATAGCAATTTCGTGCATATATAGAATCGAAATCAGAGAAAAGTGGGGGAAATTCCTTAAAAGTTGTAAATTTCTAATTTAAAAGCATTTGACCAAACACTCCTAAATTATTCATGAGCATTTGAACAAGAAAAGTGTTTGCTTTTTGACTCCTCTTACCAAAGAAATGGCTGTTCTGTCAGGAGAGAAATAATAAAAACTTGCCCTTTGTTCTTTGCGCTCCTTGTGAGCTTTATCGGTTTCAAATCCCCATTTTCTCGTTGTTTCACGAATATAAGCGAAAAACAGAAATATCATCCAAGAAATGTAAACTGAGAATTTGAAGAGTCTGCTTTTCTGAAAAGGGATGCACTGTGACTTTTCAGGGAGAGTTTTGTAACTCTTACCTGTTCGAACTCATTATCAGGTCGTTCTGTAATTTTTCCATAAATGTCCTTCTCGCCGGTTACTGGTGGATCACGTCCAGGCTTTGTCTTTACCTTCACTTCTTGGTTGGTAGTGTTTTCATTCTAAAAAAGGAAATTATTTGCACCCCACTCCGCTTTCTCCACGGCTAACTTTCGTAATTTTGATTGGAAACTATTGTAGCTATTACCTGCGTCGAATAGACATCATCTGATTGTCTATCAATCTGCTGTGCTTCTTCCTGTTCTTTCCTTGTACCTTCCAAACTATCATTATGGTGCTGTAGCTCCCTAAGAAGATCGTCATTACGGAATGGATGTGTAAGTATTAGGGCTGCTTAATAGGACTCTCGAAGCTGAAGGTCTTTTTCGAAGTCTCAAAGGTGTTATAAAGACTGATAAAGAGGCGTCGGGCTACCAAGAGAAGTACTTCTGATAAGTGCTATTGTGCAATTTGACTCATCACATGGAAAAGGAAAACCTTTGATGTGTTTTTGTGTAAAATGAATGTGACTCTTCAGATTCACTTTTCTTGCAGAAATTTAACAAATCGCCCATCCTTTGTAATTTTTCTTTACTTTTTCTTGCTAGATTGTGTTTAATAATTTCCTGAGAAGGTTCTCTTGTTCTTTGCGAACTCATGATGCCGTTTCGAGAGATCTATGTCTGTCACATTGATTATGAGAAGGTGAAGTGGGGGAACTTTCTAACATATGAGCAGGAAAAAAGAACAGATTTGATGCCATTGAAGCGAATCCAAAAGAACTGACTAATTCTGCGTATAAGCTTTGTTACTGATAACTACTCACATGAATGGGTTCATTGTCCAAACACATAAAAATATACATTGCACAATTACTCACCTTTCAACAATGTCGTCCAGGTAAAAACCGTTTACTATCGTTTCGTTTTTGATTTCGATATTTCTGATTCCCTCATAAATGGTGGGTTTCTGAAAAACAAAATTGTATTGCAGGATTTTCTGTTGAAATAATGCACTGAATCATATATTTCTTATTACAAAATGCTGAAGCTTATGACAATTTATGCATCAATCACACTCATAATATTTTTAGGCAAGAATCGATTCAAGACATAAGAGTTTTGTCATACGTCATATATTTCTTATTACAAAATGCTGAAGCTTATGACAATTTATGCATCAATCACACTCATAATATTTTTAGGCAAGAATCGATTAAAGACATAAGAGTTTTGTCATACGTTCTAGGTCGTAGCTAAAATTCTGTTAAGAATCATCCTAATGTACTTCGCAAATAAGCTTGTGATAAATATGTTGGGATCTCGCGGAAATTACGAAAAACTTGCTGCTATTCAACTGTTTCAGTGGTACCTATAGCTCAAATGTCAAAGGTAGTTGAGGCATGCTTGTTCTGATGTTTTTCGAGGACATTTTCCATATTATAATGTCTGTCCCTCACATCTTGCGGTATCGGTGATTTGCTGGTCTTCAGGCGGAAAGGCATCTTGTGAAAAATCCGAAACGCTGACCGTCTCGGGTTTAGTACCTTGACTTCCATGTCGGAATTCTCCATCTGGAATCAGCTTTATCAATACTGTTTGAAAAATTCCAACTTCTTAAAATTTGGACTGTTTTTGTCACTTCAGATACGATACGATCCCGCTTAGGATTCAACCAACATCTACGCTGTGAGCGACAGATGAGAAGGATATATAAGACAGTAAGTAAAGGAGTAATTTTGTAATGAAATTTTTTGAATTTTAGATAAAGCGACTGGGAAATGCAGTGATTAAGATAAAACTAGCTGCGTTTAGCACATCACTTCGGAAACAAGTCAAGAGATTATAAGCGTTTCCCTAAAGCTGTCAAGTTATGCCATCATCGCTTAGTCATTGATGATGCTTCACTATGAGCTCGCGCCGACGCCATGCTGTGCCATGAAAAAGCGCCATTCTCATTTTGCTTATGAAATTTCGAGCAGAGTTCGGCATGAGTGGCGTAAGCATGAGCTGTACATCATTTCTGAAAAAAACGTACGACATCAGTGCGAGAACTCCCGGAAAGACTGTCAAACGTATTGCGAACTTCCGAAAACACTTCAGAAACTTTCGAACACTTCCGAAAACTTTCGAAAGTGTTCTGACGAAACCAAAAAAATGAAGATCTTAGATTTCAGCCTGCGCAAAAGATTCCTTTTGCTAAAAACTTTACAGTTTCAGACAAAGTAGATTTCTGTGGATGGAAAACTTTACTCATCCAGCACGTAAGACAGACGTATACACGATTCATGACACACAAAGACTGGGCGCGGTTGCGTCCAGCCAAGATAGTTCGTGCATGGGAGAGGCAACAGATGGTAAGAAAAACGAAAGAGCGCTTGGTCAGAGAGACGACGATATGTCCGCAATTTTTGCGTACGATGAATCGCCTATATTGGAAAATTCAACTATTCAGAGAAGAGAAAGATTTTGAGATAACTGAGATTCGCTTGATTAAAATGTTAACTAAATAAATATTTGATTTTAGGAGTATGGTTCATGCCATAACAGAGTAATGCAGTCTAATCATGCAGTCTTATCACTTCCGATGAAATTTTTTTTGAACATATAGACGCAAATAAAACACAAAGAACAGTTTTTTACTTACCTTGCCAGCATTCTTCTACTTTTTTGAAGAAATGTAAAGCAATGAAATACAGGGAGAAAATTCGTGAAGCAAAATAACAACAAAAAAATGACAAAAAAATTATGTTTATCACACAGGTACTTCTCCTTATCGCTTTTACAACCGTATGGCATTATTGCAGGGGAACATTTTGGAGCAAGAGTGAACTTTGAAGCTTTGTTTGCAAAAAAATTTATTTTCATTTGCACTTGCGCCCTCCTTTTGACCCCTTATTGTTAGAGATTTCGCGTGAACGAGATATTGTCCACAAAAACGGCGTTTCTCCAAATGCTTATTTTGATAATAAGGCATCATTTAAGTTACTAAAGACGGAAAACAATTTGCATAGGTCGCGAAATTTTTGATTTTTAATCAAATGGGTTATAAAAATGTGCAAGTGACTTGTTTATTTTTGTAAATAATAAGAATAGTTTTTGGAATTTTTGAAAGTTCTAATTAGCCATGTAAAAAACATTTCCGGGGGTCATTGGGTCCCAAATCTTGTGAAGTACCTCAAAAAACTTTTTGGAGGCGTGGCTAACGCCACGTATTTTCTTTTAAGAAATTTTTTTGCCGGCTCCACCCCCCCCCCCCCTCTCCCGGACGGAAATTCTTCGACCGCCACTGCTATCAAGATACTAGCTATCTCAATGAACAAGTTTACAAGTGAAAACATTTTGTGGTTGGGTTTGAGCGGATTTTTGTAGTTTTATAATTCGAAATTTGATAAGAAACGATATTTCTATAATTCACAGAAAAAAGTAACGAGTGCGCTGAATTGCATTATTTTCGATTATTCAATACATAGTATCCGCATACAGATGTCATAATTTGATTTATAGTTGGTGAGTTTATATCTTAGCATTCTTTTGATAGGTACTGAATATTGTCGTGACCCATAAGTGTTTCACCTCCAAAAATCCATAGGTTTCTCCAGATCCAATAAATCTTTTTCTACGTTTGAAATTAGAAAGAAGAAAAACCATGCGCTCTCTAGTAATGCCTACAGCAACACCCAAACTATAATTTTGAAGTTCCGCTGCTAAAAATGTAAAAGATCTAACACCTCATTACGATCTTACGTTGTCCAATAACTGTTTCTGTACAAGTGAAAATTCGTGCTGGTTAGATGTCCCTACGAAAGATTGTGATTTTCGATTTTTTTTTGTCATCGTTCAAAATAAAATTTCCATTAATACACATAATAGAGTAGTACATAAATAACAACGAAAAAACTTTTATGGATTTCCTGGTGCAGCAGAAATCCGACGCAATACAAAAGATTTCGGCAACTTGAGCTTCTTGATCTTTTGCATAACAGACGAAGAACAGTACATTTAGATGGTGGAGCAAGCAATCAGAATAACCTTTCTGGACTATGCAGACAACATAGAGTGCTCGTTGGCAAATAATGTCTACACGAGGTTTGCACAAGAAACTGGATTGTGGACACGATGGATGGTAAGGCGCGCCAAGCGACTTCTGACAACAGTATTTCGCACGGCTCAAACCATGCTTAGATCAGAGCAGAACAAACAGAGAATTTGTGATTAGGGCAGACCGGGTGAAGATGACATATCAGAGAGGGAGTAGCGGTTGAGTGTATCTTGTAAGCACATAAAATTGTTTGCCTTGTCACATGCTTCGTCCAAAAAGTGCTGGAATGAGGCGAAAGGTGACGCTTTTCTAGGTAAATTGGTATTTTCAGCGATACATTTTAGATTTTGGTTGTTTAGAGTATGATGAATTTATGTCAATCCTACATGAAGTTCTGCTTGAGCAGTTTTGGATAAAAATATTCTGTTTCTTGCAAGAACCAAATTTAACGAAGAAACTTTGTTTTTTGGCTACATGCAAGAATTACATTGACAATTACATTGCTCTAAGTTGAAGCTTTTGATGTGCAGTTCAGCTTTTTTTTTTACTGACCCGCTCATTTCCTGAATCCGACTCACATAAACATTCAATTCGGATTTTTTTTATTAAATCAAACATACTACCGGACGTGGTACAAACTGTTATTCACTAATTTTATGTTGATTACCGAGGGCAAACGTTGGTCAAAAGACGAAGGGGAAAAGTTTGGAAATATGGCTGCATATAAGTAAAAGCTTCCGCTTGATAGGATACTTGCGAACGTATGACTCAAGCATGCATGTAAGTGGCCTTAAGTATGAAATGGAATTTTATCTACCTTGCATCATTGAACTGTCACTTAGTGGGTGAGTTGATAAGTGACTTTTTGATACTCTTGATAGTTACCTTATCAGTAAATTAGGGCATTGTTAACGCGAGTTTTTTGCCACGCAAAAATGCACAGATTTCCTCGAAATTTGAGTGATAAGACTGCCGTCGCTGACAATTAGCAAGGCCTATTTGCTGGCGAACCCTTCCAAAAGGGCAAGACTGTTTTTTTATTGTCACTTACTTTCTGCAAATTGTGCAACCCTATCAGTTAGGCAGTGGCGGTCCCAGGATTTTCGTCCGAGGGAGCGCGGCAAAATTTTAAATGAAGGTGATCCATAAAACCTTAAAAAAGGGGTGTGGCAGCAGCCACGCTCAAAAAAAAAATTTTTTTTTCTAAGGCTAATTTGGATTTTTGAAAAATTTAAAAAATTACTTTAATTAATTACGAGAATAAACAGGTCACTTTTACATTTTCATAGCCCGTGTAAGTAAATTTTAAAAATTTTGCGACCCAATCTTGGGGAGGATGCCCCTCGGACCGTCACTGTTGTTAGGCTATTATTTGTATAGCCTGTAAATTTGATGGTCAGTGTAGCCTCACTTGCTCACAACATTTGTGCGCAAAAGTTGTCCAACAAGCGCAAACCATTGACTCTAAGTCCATTTTTTCGTGTTTTTTTTTTCAATTTTTTTGTCGCACTTGTTATAAGCATCATATAAATGGAAAGTTTTAGGTACAAAAATGCGGAAAGACCCGGCTCCGCCCAGTTCTGTCATTAATAGTTTCTGATCAGATACTCACTTATCCCTCTGTGCCAACTCCCAGCCTCGTAGGCGAAGCTTTGGAAGAAATCGATAAGTTGATACCGATCAATGACGAAAAGTATCCTACGACATCCATTCCGCCCCAAAGTGTTATGCGAAATTTGGTCCGGATCGGTTCAGAAATAAAACTTTCTATTCGAAACATTCGTACAACAGACAGACAAGCAGACATTCAGCTTCTATGCAGAAAGGTTATCTATAAAAGTAGGCCTTGCAGCTTGAGAACAGCAAAGCATTTCTTCTTGCTAATGTGTGCAGCTGCACCTCTCAAGGTAAAGTTGTTGGTAATGAGTTCTCGGACATTCATATAGACAAAGTTTTTGATTCAATTTGAGCCCTGATTGGAGCATGCTCACACCGTTAGATAGAGGAAAGCAATCTACAAAATATGTTAAACACGAGCATTACTGTTGTTTTCATCAAAAATTCAGGCGAAAATTCAAAGCATAGGATTTTGACCGGGTAGGGGAACGAAAGCCGTCAGTTTGAGCCGCCTTTCGCGGCCCTGGTCCTTTCGCAACGTTGTTGCATATCGTTCCAGGACCAGCGAAGCTGGCGGCTTTCGTTCCCTTACCCATTTTGACCTAACCCAAATCTCCAATTTCTTTGAACGTTATGAAATACGACAAAAAAACGAGGTAACTGAAAAATGGCAAACCCATTGATTCTAGGCTCCTCCCATTTGCTTATATATAAGCTACGGGCGGGAAAGAGTAAACTGCAAATTTCGAGGATGTACATGCTTTTTGTTTCAATAGCAGATTTAGTCTGAAAATGTCCGAGAACTTTGGACACGGCCTAATAATAAGACAAGATATTGGCCTTAATGTATATTTCTAGAATCTTGTTTAGGCACGATTCTGTCTGCAGAAGTTTGTGCAAGTAATCTCGTGCATAGCATGGAGAATTTGTATCCCAGCTAATATCCTTGAAAATGCGCATGCTTACTTGACGGAGAATCCTACCGAACTGTATTAACAACTGCTGCTTTTAAAATTCTGAGTTGATAGGTTGGCTGAAGAAACAGGCAAGCCGTGTAGCTTCATCTTAAACCAAAGTATCAGACAAACATTGGCTACGATGAAGATGGTTTTTGCCATTTCCGCACAACATGTCACAACACTGTCGAAATAAGTGGGACGGTAACCAGACCTCTGCCTCATGAATGTCATTCTCATGATCTTTGGAAAAGAACTCGCGTCTGACGCTGTATGTTTACTTTCGAGCTTAGCCGGAACAGAGAGTAGACAAAAATGGTGAGAATGACAGCAGAAGCCACACAGCATGTAGTAATTGTCATTCATAAGTTTTCTGCGACATATATGTAAGTGCGGGTTAAAGGCATCGTCCACCCAGATTCTCGACCTCCATTTTTTTGATCGTTGCCCATGACTATGAAGTCGAGAATCCGCGAAAACCTCAACAATTCCCGTTCCGGAGGACCCGCAGGCCCCCTTTTCGGGACGATGATTGGCTGGGCACGCACGGATGGGCGGGCATGGATGGGAGGGCGGTGCCGTCTAGGGTCCTCGTGCATCTTCGTTAATCCGGAGCGATCTTCTCGCTTCCAAAGCGACATTTAGCGCCGCGACTTGGGCACTGGCAGGCCCACTATCATATGTTGCCAAAAGCTCAAGACTCTCAGCTTAGGGTGGACGGTGCCTCTAAGATTACAATGGTTTGAAATTCCCACAGCACTTTCATAAGCTGTTCTCAGTGCACAGATGCAAGCTTTGTTGCTCTATAGGTAAGAGCAGATGGAAACATCGATTACTTATGTGAGCTTATGTTCTTGTTTGCGTTACGAAAGTGTCATAATACTAGGTCATTTCTAAAGCTCATAGTGTTTTTATACCTTCACGTGATCAGCTTAATCCGCGTCGTCATTGAACACTTCAGCGAATTGACCAATAGTGAAGTGAATGAAGTGGATCAAGCGAATCAAGTGGACAACTGCTTCGCTATTGGTCTGTTCACTGAACTGACCAATGGACAAGTAGATCAAATATGGCGGGTGCCTCAAAAGAAGCGGCGTCGTTGCTATTTCGAAGCCTAACGAAGTGGAGAGAAGAAATTTTGAAACCTACACGCTTCGTTCGTCTTCTCCACTACGCATATACAGAACAAATCTGGAGCCATATCTTCAATTGCGGGTTGCCAATTAGTCATTTTTCACTTTCCACTATTGAATTTCCGGAGAAAGGCTTGCAACAACCTTCAATCACATAATTTTTTCAAAGTCTGCATCATGCTCCTCCTAGCCATTGTCCGCTATGCCAAAGTCGATGTCACATTGTTGGTGTGCGCTTTTAACGGAGTAGTAGTTTACTATAGCGCAGAAAACTTGCTTTTCTGAAATCGAATTCTTGAGCAAGATTGTGTTTGTGCACGTCGTCCCTGTAACAACTCATAAAGGTGTTGCGTATCGCGTATAAACATGTACACCCCGTATTTATTCTATTACGTACACCTTTGCTTTTTTTCACACAAAACCAGTTTCCAGCTTCACTGCCACCCTCGTGGGAGCGGTGGTAGTGACAAGAGGGTTTATGCCTGTTTCGCATATTATGTACTAGCTGATAGCCCGGCCTCACCCGAGGCTCCAAATTTGTTTAGCTAATAAAACGTGTGAACTTACGCTTCTAAACTTCTTCAAACATGCGCAAAAAGCGCTTTGAGACGACTTGCCGCATCCTCCCGACTTTGAGATAGAAATGGACTCTACCGCCCTGCTTACATGATCATGAAAAAATGATCGGTCGGAGCATGAAAAGTTTTCATTCTTCTAGATTTGAGTAAACAATTTAATAAATCGATAAAAGGGCCCAGTGAATCGCCGCGAAAAGTAGCACTAAACCACCACCGGGGTCGAAAACATACGCATGCAAAGTTTCAGCTCAATCGGTTCAATGCTGGCATTTCTATAACGAACGAACAACTAAACGAACATCCTCACAGACATTGAGTTATATATATATATATATATATATAGATTTTCAATGCTAAATCTATCACTTTAAGGCAATGTCCGCGCAGAGGCGGTCGGACCCATTTCGCGCAACCATGACGTGAGGCCTGACGTAAAGTTGCTCATTTGCTCAAAAACTTACCCACTAATGGGAAACTCTCGGCCACCTTTGTTTTTCCTCTTGACAGCAGAGCGCATATGCCTTCACAACTGCGGCCATAGAGTCCAACAGTGGCATTGCTTTCGGCCTTGAGGAAATTGTTCGACTTGTTTGCAGACTCAGGCTTTGAGGGAAGCTGTTTTAGCCGTTCTGGCACTCTCTGACGGATTTTTGGACTTAGCGTAGCAGATAAGTCCAAATGAGATAAAAATCTAGGATGAGATTTTGCCAGGGCACTTTCCTAAATCGACCGTAACACGAAACTTACGTAGCTTTGTGCTAGTTTGACTTAAATTTTCTGCAAGTTCTCCCAATTGATCGGGGATTGAGAAGACTATTATATTTTCTAGCAGCAGCATGTACTAATAATGCACTGACGAATAGGATGTTCAGATATCCTCGGCCAGGGCCTGATGAGAGATGGCAAATGTCAAGGTGAATATCTTCATGGCAGTAGCGTACCAAGGGGGGGGCGTCTCCCCCTCTCCCCCCCCCCCCGAGAACGGGTCACGAAATTTTTGAGAGTTACTTATATGAGTTATAAAAATAGGCAAGTGACTTGTTAGTACTTGTAAATAATTAGAACAATTTCCGAGGTTCCGAGCCCGCGAAAATCTTAGGGAGCCACGCACACCAAGAAATTTTTCGGAGTGCGTGGCTGACGCCACGAACCTACATCGGAAAAAAAATTTTGTCCTCCCCCCCCCCCCTCCCGAAATGAAATTCTGGGTACGCCACTGCTTCGTGGGGAAAGCAAAGGGAATATCGTAGATATGCATTTACATGTACGTACACTCTGTCGACAAGTTGCTACACGAGTGACATGCCCAAACACGGCTGCTTGCTCTTTACGTTCAAAAATTCAATTTGTTTCCATTGTAGGTAAAATAGAACCTTGATTTCCATGAAAGATGCTTATCAATGTGAGAATGTTTTTTAAGGACTGAGCAGCCTACAGCTTCAGGAAAAACAGACCCATTTGAAACTCAGAGTCTGAAACAGGTAGTGGAAGACAGAAAATGTCAAATTCCGCGCCTAACAATCCTTGGGCTGCATACATTAACATTCATGCCGGGGAGGAAATCGCAGCTCAAATAAAGCTTCAGATCCTGAAGCTTCAGATAGTGAATCTCACATTGTTTATTCCTTCCTATCCCTCAATGTAACGAATTGGGCTCTTTCTTCGAGGCTAACTAAAACATTCAAAATAATAGTTATGTAACCCAATAATGCTGAATATAAGCATGTTGCTGACAGGAACAAATGAGTTATAATATTGATATTTCAATTTCCGATAAACCCCACTTTCAGCTTGCGGTTCATCGCATATTTCATGTATTCGATACCTCATTTGTTCGTATCAGAAACATGTTTAGTACTATTCGGCTGGAAAATCAGTAAGACGTTGGCAGGTTTTATTAATATCGCAGGTCAAGTGGCAGTCACATCTTTATTGGGGTTGTGCCACATCCGCATCCCAATAACTAACCTTGAAAAACATTTTTAGCGAGTGCCTACTTATTTCGATAGCATGAACTTCGTAAATTACACAGCGGTAATTTGAACCGGATTCATTTTCTTTGCTTTGAGTAATAGTTGGTGAAAATACAGCCGTCAAAAGGGAAAATTAGGGAAACGAGATTTTGATGCGTTGATTATATAGTTTGGAGGTTTTTGAAGCGGAATTTCTGAGTTGGGCAGGAACGAAGTAGTGCTTTATAACGAGTGCCAAATGGGATCGATAGTTCATCTTTGAAACAGAGTTAATTATGTCCGAAAATGACCATCCTACTCAGATGGCCAATATTCAGAAACCTCAGAATTCACTGAAACTAGCCCATAGGGGTTATTTGACATGCTACATACGAAAATGATGCTCTTATGCTTTGAGGGCTTCCTTATAATGCTTACTACATTTGAGAGGTAGGCCAAAAACATCAATGTGCTGGTATTTTGCATATTGGGCTTATCTGACACTTTTAACATATACCATGTTATCGCCACATTATATCGGGTGCGTGGCGTTAGGTACCCAGCCAAGGTGCGGGCGTTAGGTACCCAGCCTTAGTCGTATACACTAAGCCACGCCCCTTGGTTGCTTCAATAGCAGGTACCTAACGATACACCGAATCCCAGCTGCTGAAATAGCTCACCTAGCTTGCCAAAGCGCTGGTGCTTGCGACCCCCAGAAAAGAGAGAGTTTGAGGAAATCAAAAGAAAAAGCGCGAAAGAAAGCTCAAGTTTGTGTGCAATGTTTTCTATTGCTTCTTTTTTCAAAATCAATTCTAGAATCACAGATATTCGGTGATGAAAGTTAAAAACAGGGTAAAGCTTCTTGAACACTTCACATAGGCAACAAAAATTGTGATAATCTGATCTAATCGATAATGTCGGGGGAATTTTCAAAGAAGTGAATTTGTAGAATTCCAATGAACCGAAATTTTATGATTTTTGTGAAGCAAAGCGCACTTTCGGAGATGTTCCTGGCAAATAAGTTGAAGGAATATTTTTTTCACATATTGTCGTCGGCCTCGTTTTGAGGTGCGAAGTTATAGTCGCGTTAAATTGCGACAGGGATTGTGAACTACATTATCCTCGATTATTAAGGGTATTACTTAGGTCATTGCTGAGGCCAGCAGATTTATGGAACAGTATAATAAGCGCATTCATTTTTCTTTAACTTCGGAAGATTCGGATCTCATATAAAAGTTTCATTGAAGTACTTATTTTATCATGTAAATGTTCTCTGTAGTGCCTTCTTGGAGGATCATAAATTCATATTCATCCTCTTTTCTAGCAACAAAATATGATCAATTTGGCCAACCAAAGTTATGATTTTTTTGCAGCTCA